GGATTGAAAGATGGAAAGATGGATGGATTGATGGATGGATGGATGGATGGATGGATGGATGGATGGATGGATGGATGGATGGATGGATGGATGGATTCATCTATTAGGTCCTGTGTCATATCTGGAACTTTTCTTTTTCTTTACAAACTTTTTCCAGATATTGTCTGTCTGCTTGTTTTCTCCTATATTTGCCCAATACTGTATGATATTATAATAAATGAGAGCTTCCTGCCCCGTTCTGACCATACATCTACATGCATGTTTTTAAACACAAATGTCACTGAAGGCCTCTTTAAAAGAATCCAACAAAGTTTGACTCCTTTAAATTAAAATATTACAAAATGAGGGATGGCTCAGACTTTTTAAAACGTATTCATTTGTTACAAAATGTTTTTCCAAATTAAAAAATGCTTATGACATTTATTGTAATAATAAAAATACGGTATAAATTTTTCACTTATGGGATAGCATACTTAACATTATGATGCTATCAAAGATGTAAAGTTTATATTTTTATTAAATGAACAGACTGATAAATAAATGTGAAGTTTGTAATTTGTAGCTTTGCATGAACGTCATCCAGCATGTGTGCGAAGGTTGTCCACTGTCTTACAGTTGATCACGCTGGGGTACTTAAAAAAATAGCATTCCTTTTTTACTAATTATCACACAAAGTGTAGAAACGTCATGTCTGTCAGTCTGCTGCAGCATGTTGTATCTAGCAGCATGTTGTATCTAGCAGCATGTTGTATCTAGCAGCATGTTGTATCTAGCAGCATGTTGTATCTAGCAACATCTAAAAAAGTTCAATCTGGTCCTCTGGACATTCAAAAAAACAAAACAAAGCAAAACAACAAAAAAAATGTAGAAACGTTTCGTCTTTCATCTGAAAGACTTCCTCAGTCTGAGGTGCTGTTTTCAGCTCAGTCTCTTAAATAGCACCTTCTCAGAGTGGATCAACCAGTTTGCTGCTGACAACCAAAACCAGCTGATCACATGATCAAGAAGGACCATCAGCCTAACAATGGATCATTAGCACACTGATGGCTGTTTACTGTTCACAGAGGGCTGAGTGATACTAGCAATAACAGCATTGTAAGAGGGGGACAGTTGAACTCGGAGGCCTCCACCCCGTTTAATGATGGACGGTTTCTTTTCACAAAGATGGCCTCCTTTACTCCTCTCTCAAACCATCGTTCCTCTCTATCCAGGATCAATCAATCAATCAATCAATCAATCAATTCAACTTTATTGTCCATAACATTCAATGAACTGGAGATTTGGCTTTGACATTTGCCTTATAAAACAAAATAAAAATGTGATTAAAAACTCTAAAAAATTTTAAACCAAACTTTGCTAAATCAATTAAAAACATTCAGTTAAAACCATTCTAAAATACACGATACATTAAAATATGGAAACATCCCAGCAGACAGTGGTTGTCATGTGAGGCTGCGTTTAAATAGGACCTTGTTAAGTACATTCACCGCAGAGGGAACAAACATGATGTGAACATCTTCGTCCCTGAAAGAGTGACCGCTGGCCTGGAGATGAGTGTAGACCGCAGAATCCTGGCCTGATGATGTTGATCTTCTGTGCTGGGCCATCCTTTTGGCCAGTGGCTGTTTTGTTTCCCCGATGTAAGACTGATCACAGCCCTCCTGACACTGAACAGCATACACAACATTGCTCTGTTTGTGCCGGGGGACTGGATCTTTGGGATGAACCAGTCTTTGCCGTAATGTATTTTGGGGTTTAAAAGCCACTGGGACGTTATGTTTAGAAAATAAAAAGTCTCAGTTTCTCTGATACTCCCTCAACATATGGAATGACCACTGGTCTGGGTCTGGGTTCCTCCTTTTCACCTGATGGCTGACTGGAGTCCTGTTTGGGTTTCTTCTCTGCTTTCAGGAAGG